TAATATTAAAAGTTTCAAAAAATAAAAGAAGATAAATATTTATAACTTTAGAGGGTAAAATAGGTATGTTGGCAATCCAAAATTTAGAAAATCTAGTGGAGTGACCTTCAGAATACAATAGTCATAGTTTAGTGATTTTGTTGTTACAACCAAAAGAAAAGTGACATTAGGAGATAATTTGAGATAGTTGAGTGACCATTTGAGTAATTGACTCCCAATATTGGGATCTAAACTTGAAGGAATTACATGTCTCTTAAACCATTCAAAGTAGGGTGATCATCCTTTTGCTTCTTGCTTCCAAGTGTTAAATCAAAATAAGCAGTAAAGCTTCTATTTGAAGCAAATTCTACTTTACCTAACGTTGTAGTGTTAGTAGAGAGAGAGAATATAAGCAAATAACACACTCAAAAAAAAAAAAAAATCAGAATGCATAGTTAATCGTAGGAATGCACAATATTTTCTACTTTAAATCACTCATGCAAAGTAATATTTGGCAAAAGAGTTTACTTATTACTATGATATGACTGTTGTTGACCGTCTTTAGCAGTATAAAATTTCTCCCTTTCTCACATTGGAGATGATCTACCACTTTTTAAGGACTCCAGATCGAAGATGATTTTAACATAGGTAATCTGGAGCCAATGCCAGTTTAGGAGTAGTATGCCAATGTTTTCTTGCACAAGATGCAATCTCACATGTTTTTCAGGTGGATATATTGTATTCAATATTATCCGTCGTTTTTTTCACTTGTATACAAATCCAAGTAAGCATCAAGAGCCGAAATAGGAAAGTGATATAAAATGTTTGTATGGATTTTAAACAATACTTTTATGTGCTCACGGTTTAACATTGAAGTTTTTAGATTGACGATGTAAATACAGAAAGGGGAATACATAAGGGATAAGTAGAAACCATATCAAGTCATTCTAACATTCAAAAGAAGAATCTTATCAAAGGAAAAAATGGTAAGTAGAAAAGGAACTTTTTGGAGAATGGGAGAGCTTGGATTAGCCGTAAACCTACATGTCTTTTACTCGCTTACGTAAATACAGGGAAACAAGGAAAAATATTAATTTGTTAAAATATTGTGATAATTACCTCACTACAAAAAAAACAGCGTTTAGCGACGGCCGCATTCCGTCGCTAAATCAATGTTTTCTGTCGCTAAGCAGAATTAGCGACGGAGTAGCGACGACATATTTTTGTAGCAAAGTTTAGCGAGGGAAATATCCGTCGCTATATAGCTTGTTTCTGTCGCTATATTGATGCCTTTCGTCGCTGCAGTACATAATAAAATTCATCGTTTGTTCTTATAGCGACGAAATTTTCCGTCGCTAGCCGTGTTATAGCAAATTGTCCCTGCTTTTTGCAACAAAAACCTTTTGTTGCTAATTCGTCGCAAGATTTTATTTTACGCGATAATTTTAGCTACGGAATGTATCTGTCGCTGATTCATTTTTACTATATTATTGATTTTTTAAAATTCTTTTTATTTATTATTTTAAATGTACTCTGTTCAAACATATTGCATAAACTATTAAATACACTTAATAAAAAAGTCACTGATATTAATATAAATTCAACAAGGTCCAAAATATATAGAATAATTCATATAACAGTATCATTAAGTACAAAAATTCACAAGGACCAACAATAATGTCCAAACAAAATAAGCTAACTATGCTAGGCTGGAGAGTTACAGTCATCATCAGAACCCAATGCATGAACCTCATCAATGTTAGCAGCAGTAGAAGATGTTGGAACTGTAGGTGCCATATTAGTATTTGGCTGATGCGAGGGTAAGGAAACTAATTCCCGTACCCGCTCAACAATTACAGGAACTATATGATCTGTCAATGCAGGAATCAATCGCATCACTAACTCATCCAGATTCCATGTCGGTGTTGATTGAGCATTTGGAGGTGTTGTTGACGATGTAGCATCAGATCCAAAAGAGCCATGAAGATTTGGCCCGTAGTAGCATTTTGCTTGCGATCCAAGACCATATACTCTTCTTTTCGTTTCTCCTCCCGCGGCTTGATAATATGCTTTACACTGATCAATATCAGATTGAGTTTGTGTTTGTTGTTGCAATATCTCCTGATATTTTTTCTGTAGAAGAGTTAATAAGAACATTCAATTTACAAAATGAAAAAATATATGAAAGTAAAGTCAATTAAAAAGTTATCTTACATGTATGATTCGTGATTTCTCAACAAAAGATTTTCCATCATTACCATGTGTATGGACGTGCAAATGCAACTCACTTGGTGTTGGATCTCGACCCTTTTTAACCGCCTATACAAAAATTATTCAATTAAGAAGATAGAGAAACAAAAGGATATAGTTGGGCAATTAGGAACTAAAAGCTCTTCCCTTTATACCTCTCTACACAATGCATACTGAAAGAAGTAAGACAGATCATAAACATTTTCTAATTCTTTCTACTGGTCCAAGTCCTAAAGTCTAACCAAGACTTAACGTTAAATTCAGCTTAAACCACTGTGATTGTCAGCAAGAACACTACCATATTTGTTGGAAAGCTGTTAATTCCAAGCTATCTCCACACCTTCTCCCAAACAATAAAATTAATAAATGTAAAATGCAGCACTTGACCCCCAATTACACACACACACACACACAACATCTGCAGAATTTTGGTATGCAATTTTACGTAGTAAGTAGTAATACCAAAAATCAAAGATCCAGTCTTTTTATATTTTCCAAGAAGATTGAATCAATGAAAAGATGACAGCTTTGCTACAGAGTACAGAGGCAGTGAATTGAGTAAGAATCATGTGATCTTTTACTCACTGTCTCACCTCTCTCCTTTTCCAATTTTTCCCACTACTCACTACTGTAGTATTACTTACTAGTCTTTTTCTTGGGTAAAAATATCCTGAGTAAGATTTTTTCCAAGGCCTTATAAAAATATCTAAAAAAATAGCAATTTTTTTCCTGCCCACATACACTGAACACCCCAGATACTTGGTTGAAAATATTTTATGCTCCATTTCTATGATGTTTTCTACTCTTGCAGCTGCTTCAATAGGAGCATTGGGGTTAATGGCAACACATGACTTCTGCTTATTTACTAATTGGCCAGAGACTTTTTCATAAGTACTAAGAGTGTCCATGATCATCTTTCAAGAATTTCTGATACCACTGGAGAATAAGATTTTGTCATCAGCAAAAGCAAGATGACTAATAAGGTGCTTTCTTACTCATATGAAAACCTAAAAAACTACTAGAGTAATATAGCTTATTAAGTTTCCTTGAAAGAAATTCAGCACAAAGAATAAATAGAGAAGACGAAATAGGATCACCCTGTCTTAAACCTCTTTTTGATTTACCAATGTCTTGAATGATTTCCTAGGCTAGCAAAATATTTTTAGTTATAGCTCTCCCTTTTACGAACCCACTCTGATTACCACTGATCAGGTTAGGAAGTAATTTATTCAGCCTAGTGTTGAGAACCTTGGAAAAAATCTTACTCAGGACATTGCATAAGCTAACATGCCTTATATCAGTGAAATGTTTAGGAGAAGGCACTTTGGGAAGCATCAGGATATTTTTAAAAGGCCTTATATCAGTGTGGTTTGGGATTAAAACGGCCTTTACCACACAACTTGAATCAGTTGTACAAAACGAAGGAGGGCTAATTCTACTATAGGTAAGTAAATCATCACACAGAATCGTTTATTCTAGTGATAATTTTCAGAGGGATGCAACTGTTAACTTTCAACGCATTTGTGATTTAGAATGCAAACTGGAACAAAAGGAAACATTAGAACTCGAACCCAAGAAGAAGTCTTTAGCCAAAAAGGTCACTGGTTTTCAGGTATTTCTCTTTTCTAAATTTACTATTCTCAGGCTGCAATCTTGAGTTGCAGGAGATCTATATCTAAAAGCTGAACTTGTTCATGTCCAGTGGTAAAATCTTGAGGGAAAAGTTATAAATACACTTACAAGTCTCTTGCGATGCTCCCCAACACTGATAGAGCAACCTGTATGAGTCCCAGTGGCAATTTCGCTCCCACCACAATGATTTTTTGCATTTATTTCTGACTTTTCAACACACTTAGGATCTTTCCAAAGTCTCAACCAACTTTCCCACACATTATTTGGAATAGTTTCCGGTTGCACCATATTTGCTTTTAGTTTGCTAACAAAATCACTGTATCTTCTTGCTGCCCTACGCTCCCATTGGATCTGCACCGCACTATCAATTGAAGAATCCTAGTAGAAAGCCTTCTGAAATAATTTTATGAAGTAATAACATTAATAAGTTACATATAAAAGTTAATATACTTTCAAAATCTAATTGTGATGGATTATACCTTGAATTCTCCAAAATAAATTTTTTTTTAACTCATTTGAGACGTTTTTCTAGTTGAATCCATTAGGATCAAGTTCATTATTGAAAGACTTAGTTATAAACTCAGAGCATTCATATGAAGGCTCCAACCTGAACAAATTAGAAGACATTATTTAAAGGAATACCATGTACCAATAATAATATACTAAAAGTAATAGTACAAGTATGGACTAACCCTGTAGGAGAAATAGTAAGAAGCGTTCGCGGTCGGCGGGTACTGCTACACTCAGTTTCGCCTATTATGTTGCTTTGAGAAGATGTACCCTCACCTATTGTGTTGCTCTGATTAGGGGTATTTGGAGGTGGTTCCAAATTAATAGTTGGGGTACTACCATAGTCTGATGTTTGAATAGGTGGTGTACTACTAGGACCTAATATTTGAACTTGATTGATGTGAACCGGTCCACCTGAGAAACTCGTACCGCCTTGTTGAGGATTGATTGTGGGAATGGGAACAGTAGGCATATTTTCACGAGTAGAGAAATTACCCCTAACTGAAGATTTACCTACACGACCTGCGCTACCTCGACCTCTACCTCGAGGCATATTTCCAATTGCTCCTTTTTTTGGCCTGCAATGGGCTGCTCCAACTTAACCTGAGCAGTATAGTCTCTGAAAATTCAAGCAAGCAGAAGCTAAGTTAGTATGAAAGTTTATAAAATTCAAACAAGCAGAAGCTAAGTTACAGAAGCTAAGTTACATAAGCTAAGTTACTGAAAATTCAAACAAGCAGAAGCTAAGTTACTGAAAATTCAAACAAGCAGAAGCAAAGTTACAGAAGCTAAGCTAGTATGAAAGCTTATAAAATTCAATAGAATGCGGAGAGATACATGGTGACTAACTACATGCTACAAACGTGGTATTCGATTCACAACACAACGTAAGCTAGAAGTGTACTATACCATTTAGATTACTACAAATGTGGTATTCGATTCGATTCTCTATAGATCATACTACAAAATAGATACATGACTTATAACATACCACACAGATTACTAGAAAAACAAAATTCAATAAAAATATAGTAGTGCATTATCAACACAGTAGTCATCATCTGTTTCTTCTTCAAACTCTTCCTCATCATCCTCCTCATTTTCATCCTCAGTTTCATACTCGTCTTCTGAAGATTCTTCTTCGAACTCTTGATTCTCTATCAATAGTCCATCATTAATGGGTTCAACCATTTCAATTACATCCCCATTTGGATCATGTAAGATTATATTCTCATCAGTGGTGAAATTCATATCTATCAAATGGACTTCAACTTCTTCAACTTGGAATGGAAGAGTCGGTTCTGGAGTTGATGTTATTGCCTCATCAGGAAGTTCAATAACATCCCGAGGTTTAACTTTCAAAACAGCTACCCAATCATCCTTGTCCTTTTTCGTGCTAGGATAAGGCACATAACACACTTGAGTTGCTTGCATCGCAAGAATAAAAGGTTCGTACTTGTTAAAACGACGGCGATGGTTCACATCGACTAGTTTGTATTGGTTATGCTCTTTGACACCAACATTCACAGTTGGATCAAACCATTCACACTTGAATAACACAGTTTGCTTTAAAGGTTCTTTGCGGTATTCCAATTGTATAATCTCTTGTATCCGTCCATAATAGTCACCAACATTTGGATCCGAGATACAAACTCCACTATTAATTGTTGATCTTGCACTACCATGACATTCCGTGTGAAATTTGTATCCATTAACAAAATACACCGGATAACATTTTGCGCTTATTAATGGTCCATGAGCAAGACTACACAAGAATTGGTTCTCAATGTGGTTGCATCGAACCTATTTCAAAAAAATTATAAGACTTGGTTAAATATAACAAGCCAATTTAAGTACATAATTGCTTAAAAGATAATTATTTTTATAGTCTTACATATTCCTTGAACCATATAGCAAAACACGTTTCGAGACTCTCATTTATTTGATCCTGAGATAGGTTGGGTAATTCTTCTTGCAACCGTTGTATGTACATACTTCATTGCAACAAAATAAGTTAAATACGTACTCAAAATATATGGATATATTTATTATTATTAATAAATGATACCTTACAAACGGCTCAACCTCTACACAATTTAGTAGAATATAAGTTTGGGCTGCCTTGATTTCTTCGAGGGACAAACTTCTCTTTTTTCCTTCTCCCCATAGTCGGCCTGGATGAGTGAATATTGATAAATTTCCTTCAAGATCTTCCATAACACCACCATCATAATTACGGGCCACATTATGATTACGTGTCATGACATGAGGTTCAAAATAATGAGAAAACAATTTTGTTGATTCCATCATCAAGTATGCTTCGCAAATTGAACCCTCGACAAGTAAATGGATAGACCATTAAATTCATAAAGTCATGTGTATCATATTTGTCATAATAAGAGCATAAAAAGTTAATAACCTCTCAAAAGGATACATCCATCTATATTGTACAGGTCCAGCAATCCTTGCTTCATATGGCAGGTGTACAGGCACATGTTCCATTGAGTTAAAGAATCCAGGAGGAAATATACGCTCCAACTTACACAAGATCTGTGGGATGTCTGCCTCTAATCTCTCCATGTCCACCACTCGAAGAACAGTCGAGGTGAGATCCTTAAAAAATAAGCTCAATTCTGTAAGTGCTTGCCACACATTACTAGGAAGTAGCTCACGAAAGGCAATAGGCATTAATCGTTGCATGAACACATGGCAATCATGTCTTTTCATACCAAATAATTTATACTTGTCTGTGTCTAGGCACCTACTCAAATTCGAAACATACCCATCTGGAAACTTCACATTTTCCAACCAATTGAACAAGGCAATTTTTTGATTCTTCTCTATTGTATATGCAGCTTTGGGATAGCTTCCATCAATAGGATTCTTTGCCAATTGCGGTCGATCGCAATAGTTTACCATATCTTCACGTGCCTTTGGATTGTCTTTTGTTTTGCCATCAACGTTAAGAACTGTGTTAAATACATTATCAAAGACGTTCTTCTCAATATGCATGACATCGAGATTATGGCGGATCATGTTAGAGCTCCAATAAGGCAAATCCCAAAAGATGCTTCTCTTTTTCCATCCACAACACCGAGAAATTCTCCCATTAACTTCTTCTGCATCTAGCTCAGTTACTTTTCTCAGTCCCAACTCACAAATTTGGTTCAAGATTTACTCTCCTGTTCTAAGGGGCGGTGGTAGCCTTCTGACAGTCTGACCTTTACGAAAGTTTTTATTTTACGATCTCTCCTAAACGGATGATTTTGGTCAAGAAACATTCTATGACTATCAAACCAAGTTGTTTTCCCACCATGACAAAATCTGAAGGATTGTGCTTCCTCCATACAATAAGGACATGCTAAGTTACCGACAGTACTCCATCCAGATAACATAGAATATGCTGGAAAGTCATTGATTGTCCACATCAAAGCAGCCCTTAATTGAAAATTTTGTTTTTTTGAGATGTCAAATGCTTCTACACTCGTCTCCCACAACAAGGTCAATTCCTTTATTAAAGGTTGTAGATAAACATCAATTTTTTGTTTAGGGTTGTTTGGCCCTGGAACAATGACAGTTAAGAACATGTACGCCTCTTTCATACACATCCCTGGAGGCAAATTGTATGGAGTGACAATCACTGGCCATGAAGAGTATTTCCTCCCTGAATGACCAAAGGGCTGAAAACCATCAGTACATAATCCCAACCTCACATTTCTTGGTTCAGCAGCAAAAAAGGGATGAGTTTCGTTGAAGTGCTTCCAAGCCTTCGAGTCTGATGGATGACGCATGACGCCCTCCTCTTGTATGTGCTCATGATGCCATCTCATATCAGCAGTTGTAGCATGAGATGCATATAATCTCCGCAATCTAGGAATCAAAGGAAAATAATACATTTTTTTTGTAAGGGAATAATTTCCTCTTACGAGAACCGACACGACGTTTGTACCTCTGGTGACCACAAAACTTGCAAGATGTGAGGTCCTCATCTTCACCCCAATACAACATACATCCAGAATTACAACAATCAATCTTTTCAACGGGCAAACCCAAGCTACGCACTAGCTTCTTGGTCTCATAATAGTTATCAAGCATTGTGTTATCTTCTGGTAAAGCCTCTTTCAACAATTGCATCATTTGGTTATAACCTCTTTGTAATAAAGTATTCTCCATTTTAATATTTAGCATCCTGGAAACTACTGCGAGTTGAGAGAGGGAAGAACCAGGGTATAATTTTGCGTCAGCGGCCTGTAGCAAATCATAAAACCTTTGGCACTCAAGATTTGGCTCCTCCTCCATTGAAGGATTAGGCTCCGCGTCCATTGAAGGTTCATAAGAATGAGACGACTCAGGTTCAGTATTATTATAAGGCTGCCCGTTCAAACCATGGCCAAAATTGGGTCCAGCTGCATCCAAGACCATTTGTCGATATGGATTCTCATATCCCGATTCAGGTTGAGAGCCACCATGCAAATCACCACTAGAAGACATCTCACCGGTCACATTTTTTTCTCCTTGATACTTCCAAAGAAAATAGTTCTCCACAAATCCATACTGATAAAGATGCAATTTAACAGTTTCAACATCCATGTATTTAATGTTGTGACATTTTTTACATGGACATCTAACATTGTCACCACTCATGCGATTGCGCTGAGAACAAGCAAACTGGAGAAACGTGTTCACACCAGTTATGAAACTTGAATTAATACCTCCTCGGCCATCCAACCTTTTGTACATCCAATCACGCTCTGGATTGTCCATGTTTCTATTTAATATTAAGATAAACAAGACCTTAGAGTTCTTTATTAATAAGACATCAGAATGCTTTCTAAAATGAATAACAAGTTGACATCAGAATAAGCTGAGAATTACTAACACCCCAATCTTGGAATGAAAACAAATCTTGGAATGCTCAGTTCCTTTCTTTGACCAAAATAAGAATCCTAAAGACAAATGAAATGCTATATATTGAGGAACATAATCTTTATGAAAGGGAAATAATGAACAGAAGGGCAAAAAAAAATTTCCTGATAATAAACCAGTAAAATTAGAATGAGAATAAAAGAAGACTGATATGCATTTAGAAAAGCAGTACTATAGCATTGGCCATATAGCATTGACCCTTAAACAGTTACAGTTTTCTGATTTCATTTGCAAAGAAAACTGATATGCATTTAGAAAAGCAGTACTTAGAGTAAATCAAAATAAACTCAAAAATTGTTTGGTGAAAGCAGGCATGCAGCTTTGCAATCACATTCTAGTAGAACTCTTACATATAGATCATATAACAGCAATAACAAGGGTCTATTGTATCAATAAAGTATTTACAGCTGAAAAGCTGACAGTGATAGCCAAAATGGAGAGAATGGATCACATAATAATGTACTAACCATAACAATAGCAATATCACAATAAATTCCACAAAGAAATGTAAAAAAGATCAAAACTTTAACCATTCCCGCAATAGCAAAAACAAGCACCAAACAGATGAAACAGAGCAAAGGAATGGTAACTCCGCTCCCAGCACTTTCATCAGTATACATATACTATTCAAGAAAGGAGAAGGGGTAATAATACCATCCAAGAAAGGAAAAGAAAGAAAGAAAGGGAGGGTAATAATACCATCCAAGAAAGGAGAAAGCAACAGGCAAGACTAACAAACATCATGAGCAACCTATACATATCGACAACTTTCAGCAATATATATATACTATCCATCTACCCCACTTTCAGTTATACTGCTGGCCACTTTCAGAACCCTTATGGCCTAAAACAAAATCCAGAAACAGGGACAGAACAGAGAAGGCACACCCTTATGACGTGCGACATATGGCACTCGTCTATTCAAATGCTAATAATACTAGGTGCGGACATTCAGACAAAGGTAGACATTTATTTATTTTATCTGTATGGGAACTGTCATAATTTATTTAGTCCGTGAAACTGGTTAACAGCTACTAGAAAGAAAATGCAGACTCAGTTTAATAGAAAAGTTACCAAAATTGAGCCTTCCTTGTAGTCCAAAACGGAGCAACACCAAGATCTGAAAATTCAATAGCACACTATCCAAAAGAACATAGCCTGTAGTTGATACCTACCAACACCAAAGCTACAGTAACAATAACAAATTACATTCAATGAAAGCAAGAATAGAGAAAAAATTACCAAAATTGAACAAAATAAAGCGCACACCACAGACAACTTGGAACTAAAATTGAGAAATTTGAAAGAAAAAAAAACCTCAATTACAGATGCATGGGGCGCGCAACATTTACCAACCAAGTACGAAGAAGACATTTAAACAAATACTTCAATAATGATAAACCTCGGAAGCCCCCAAAAAAACACCACTGAGATCCATAAAAACCAACTTTGAAGGAGAAGGTACAGTACAAATACTTTTGATTTACGAAAAAAAAAAAAGGAGCAGCGAAATTGGTACCAAAGCGACGATTAACTCACAAAACTTACAGCAGGTTGAGGGACTTGCTTTGATGATTCAAAATAATCAAGCATTGGCCTTACAATTGCAGGAAGGAAAAGCCCTGAAAGTTGACAATACAAGAAATGTAAGACCAGCTTGAAGAATTTCAGAGTTCCGAAGCAAAAATCTTGCAATTTTGAAAGTTTCCTTCTATTTTTCAGACATTAACCCTAGATTCACACCTAATTTTTTGCATTTAAAGAAAAAAAACTCACATTGTTGAAGAGTATTGAGAGTGAGAGTCTGTGATAGAGAGGAGAGGAAGTGGGCGTCTTGCCCTAATTGTATTGGGAGTCTGATAGAGAAGAGTGTGCGTGTTATCCTAATTTAATTTACAAAAAGTTAGCGACGGAATTGGCGAAGGATAGAATTTCTGTTGCTAATAATAACTAATGCAAATTTATTTAATGGAACTAGTTTTTTTAGCGACGGACGTAATGTTTGTCGCTAATAATATCAAATGATATTTTATTTTAAAAAAACTAACGACGGAATATTTTGTCGCAATTAACTTTGGAATGTCTTGATAAGTAAAAGGACTTCAGCGACGGATTTTTTTGATGATAAATCCGTCGCTATGTTTTAATAATTTTGTCGCGTCCTTTTCATCTCTAATATTGTAGGTAAAATAAAGGCGCTACCATTTAGCGCCAATTTTAGTGACGAATATTAGTGTTTGTCGCTATTCCGTCGCTATATTCTATACGAATTCTATTTGTAGCTTATTTGGCGACAAATTACAAAATGTGTCGCTAATCCGTCGTTATTTAGGTACGGAATATCTCTTGTCGCTAAATTTCGTCGCTAAACGCTATTTTTTTTGTAGTGCTACAGTATAGACGATTTCGCTTCTTGTTGCTTAATATTTTAAAAGGTTCGTCCAAGACTAGCTCCTGGGCGAGGCATTTGCAATATGTCTTGAGGCGGCTCAAGTGTAGGGCTTAATTTGTGAGGCTTACATATATATATATATATATATATATATATATATATATATATAT